GGGAGAGGGGAGTGTACTTCCACATATTTCTCTCCAAATCCCCTTGCCTAGCAGGATCTTGCATTCCTTCCCATACTTGTTCTCGATGGTTTTCAGCCTTTCAAATATTAAGTTGAATTCATAGCCCCTTCATCATTGTCAACAATCATGACCTACACTGGAACTTTCCTGCCTCAGTGACCATTTTTGGGACAAAAGGCTTCATATCTGCACTGACAGCATGAAATGCCTTAAGCGGGAAAAAGCACATAAAAGAGGCACTAGAGAACAACATTTTGCCATAATTATCAACAATATTATGAGTGAGATTCACCTACCAGAGGCTCAAAGACACCATGAATTTCACAGCATATCTTCTGCGTATAATAATTCAGGATACACAGAAGATACCATTTTCTTTAACGAGTTCATAGATTCTTTTAAAAATGCATGTCCTTCCGCAGCTGCAAGTACCAATGAAGAATAATAACTTGACGTAGCCAGATATAGCAAACGCATTAACAACCGCCGTGCAGAAAGAATCAAACAGTTACTACCTTTAGTCAGTGCATGAAATTCCTTTGAGAAGTCCTCAACACGTCCATGGACAGGTCTCATTCCACAGATTTGGATCACACAAAATTCCAGGTACAATGCCATTACTGTTATTTGCAACAGTAGAATACAGACCCCTTGTATTTCAGAATTAACCTGCTTCAACTTGTGGGCTTCACACAATTCAGTGATGATAGAAATTCCTTGATCCTACAACCAAAAGGTGAATCATAGCCTAAGCATCATAAGACTGCTCAAAAGTATCTTTTAGGAAGGGCATATGGCCGTGTACTCGTGAAGCTTTAAAAACTGACCAACTGAGTTGGAAACTAGGCGCAGTTCTCTCCTTTTTACATCCTACAGCACAAAATTTGTATTCCTCACAATGTCTACATAAAATTAAATTTGATCATCTTCTAAGAATTACTCTAGACCGCAAAAACACGTCAAGTGATTAAAATAGTCAAAACTCTCAAAAGAAAACTAAAGATTAAAATTAACAAACTTAAACTGGGGAGCACATAAATATCGAGGACAACATGCTGAGTTCTGCAGAAGCAATTAAATAAAATTGATCCATTCTGTTAGTTCCGTTGATTTTCCCTTTAAACAAGACAAGTGACTGGGAGGTCAACCTGCAATCTTAAGCCTCAGTATGGTTAGGCACATGGAAACCACTGCCTCCATCAAACTTAAATTAGAATACTCACAGGGACTTGAGCTCAATGCATAAATCATGCAAAAATCAACTCTGGAAAGAGGAAGATAGAACAGACAAAAATGATCTGGGTGTTTCACCTGCAAGCAGTGAAGGATATCAGGCATTGGTAGCTCTGGGAAATGTGCAAGATCAACAAAACCCGCTTCTTCAGCCCTTTCAGCAGCTTCTTCAGCTTGTAGACATAAAAACTTGAGCAGAAGACAGGTAATTCTGTATATCTGAATAGACATTGCATCTGAAAAATGAGACTGCGTAGTCAGATTAGCATGCTCATTTGTTTGATCTTTGATCACAATAGCAGTTCTTGACGAAAAAGATGAATATTTGGGATTTAGACCGCAGCAAAGAGCAGAAAGAGCAAACCAGCCCTTTCTGCTATTGATATATGATGGCTTGTTGTGCCACTCGTACTCCTCTCGGAGGGTAGGATGACAAAAGATGGGGGGACCTCTTCCTGGCGATTCCCCATGACGCTGTGTACCGCAGCTAATAAAGGCCAATAAATGGATGCATCTTTCCCTTAACTGTGACTCCATTTCTTTCATGGCCCTTGACCAGGCATTCCTGTGCTTTGCCAGAACACAAATTAACATAACCGTGTTTTCACTCTCTCTAAGACAACTCAATGAAGTATGTGGTTTGAGTGCCCGGGGTCTTTTCTTATCATGATCATCTGATGGAAAATCCGGAGCACTAAGATAATATGAAATTAGATCAGCCTTCTCCAAGAAGAAGTAAGTCACCACGTGATCCACATTTAACATCGAAGTTTCTCCTAAAGAGTTAACAATTGCCGTAACCACAGCCAAGCTAAGTCCCCAAATGGGTGGAGACCTTTCATTATTCTCAAAGGAGTTTGCCAGATTTCTCCCATTCTCAACTACTGAGAGAGGTCTACCATTAGATAGATCAGCTAACAATACTCTTAATGATGCAAAGAAACCAGCATTCAGAAGCATCTCAGCACCTTCCTTCACATGTGCAATAGTCAAAAGAAACTTCAATATTATGTCAATGACTGAATAAGAGCTTTTGTCTTGAAGCTTAAGAACAATATGCTGCATCGGAAGATGCTTTTGAATGACAGGGAACCAAGTGGCAGGTGTTGAAAAACCTTTGAGTACTTGGTCGATAATAATCATAGAGATGGAGCAGTGTCCAGTAAGTTCTATACAGTTGCAAAGCAATGGTAGTAGCCCCAAGCTCACATTAGCTGCCTCAGGTAAGACTTCATTATGCTCCATTTCTGTTCGTACACCAAGGCGAGAATCTTTCCGACTTGACTTGAGTGAAAAGAGAATCAGCTCCAGAAATATTTTCATTGTACTAAGGACACCAGTAGCCAATGGCCTACAGTTGCTCAACACCTTGAGGCCATAACCTGCAGTTTTTAATATGAGAAGGCACATAGATAAAGACAATTGTGCATTCAGTGACCTGGTAAAGCGGAAAAGCAGGTCTGCTTGAGCTGCAAGAATTTCAACTATGTCTTTACTAGCATCAGGGACTGGGACAAACAACCCGATTGTGCGGATGAGAGACTCGCATATATTGTCAATGCTAGATGACAATAATTTTTCAGGAATATTTCTGGCAGTTTTAACCTCGTTCTCAACTGACTGCATAAACAGGGAAACCATATCAGTCATAGCAAACCAAATATATACAGCTACCCTTGGAAAAATTTGTAACACCCCAGACTTTAGACAGAGTCCCACATCGGCAAAACACAAGAGGGATGCTGGGTATACAAGTTAACAAGCCTTAGACCCTAGTGACGTGTTTTAAACCCGTGAGAGCCTAGGCCCAGAGTGGATAATATCACTAGCGGGCTGGGCTGTTACAGATGGTATCAGAGCCACTCTTGTGTCAGCCTTCCCGATGGTGGGTTAGAATTCAACTGAGTTTAGGCAAATCCCGGTTAGGCGGGGCAAACCTCAATGCCGAGTCTAGGCGAATCCCATGCGGTGGGGCAAACTTCAGCGAGGATGCTGAGTCCATAAGAGGGGGTGTATGTAACACCCCAGACTTTAAACAGAATCTCACATCGGCAAAACACAAGAGGAATGTTGGGTATATAAGTTAACAAGCCTTAGACCCCAGTGATGCGTTTTAAACCCGTGAGGGCCTAGGCCAAGAGCGGACAATATCACTAGCGGGCTGGGCTGTTACAAAATTATAGAGTCAGCAAGAGTTCAGACACTTTTACATATGAAAACCACGCCAAAATCCTAAGCGAGTTGAGGTCAACTATATGAACCCTCACTAACAATTGTCCCTCCATTTAAGTCCATTTTGGACCAATATTATACAAAATAAAAATACAAGTTCTCTATATTTTCTATTGGCATATAAATCTCAGACAAGACTAAAAGACACCATGAAAACATAGGACTTAAAGTAAATGTACAAACATGACTAGAACAATATTCACGACTTATTTTTATCACCTACAGACCTTTTTTTCATTGTGCCCTGCTTTTTCCTAGTGTGCATGGATTCCAAGAAATTGTATGTCATCGGAAACAGCTTCCTTGTATGTAATTTTTGAGTCAAAGAAGTGGCTAAATGGTAATAGCTTCTAAAATTGTGGCTAATGCATGATAGCAGGTGTTAAAAATGGGTATTTGCCAATTTTTTCCGTCTCACCAACCATGGTATTTCACCAAAGTTTGACAATATAAGGATTTTCTAAACGAGTTGAATGAACTCGATGACGAAACTTATAATTCCTAACAACCATCTAAGTACATACAAATACAATGTTATAGAGCTTATAAGATTTAAAAACCCACAGTAAGGTAAATGACCTATATCTAGAGCAAAAACGACAAAACTGAACATGCAACTAAATTTGGAGCTAACAGCATCACCATGGATAACATTGTTGCCGACGCTTTTTTAAGACAAAAGCACATACGAATGAGAATCAGCAAGGTCAAATGACTTAAATGTAGGAGACAAAATATTAGAAGTCAAATGCAACTGACAGCAGCACTCACATCAACATTGTCAGATATGGAGAAAGCTGTTGTCAAAGCTATTAAAGCTGAAAGCTTGGATCTTGTGAGTGACACCATTAAATTCACATTCTGCAACGAGAGCAACAGCGCTTCTGCAACCGCTTTAGATGCTTTCCAATCCGAAATATCCCACAAATCAATTGCCATGTCCCCTTGCAGACGATCAGTGTCATACAAGCAGACACCATCAGTTTGAGGGAAAATGTCCTCATCGTGCTTACGGCGATACGTTTGCAAAAAATCTGACTTTAGCAGATATTGGGACAGCTCCTTGAATGGTCTGTGGGCGATCTGTCTACCTTCAAGCTCTCCTTGCAGATGATAGAATAGATCATTGAGAATTAAGTCATCCAATTCATTTCCTCCACTGGAAGAAAACGGAATAGAAGGAAGAAAGATTTAAGTCTTGCATCCGTGTTATAAATTATAAGTGAACTTGTAGAATATATTGATCCACTGAATATATAAATTACTTTTGCATTTCAATTGCCTCTACTTAAATATTTAGGTTAATTATATCAAATATAATTAACTACTACACCAATGACATTCTGCCTGAACTCTTTGAGTAACAGATTGCTATAAATCCATAACAGTTTACTTCAGATAACATTATGATCACAATATCCCTGCGAGATAATAACTGAGTACAAATAAATAGACAAACCAGTCCCAGGAACAGTCTCACTTCAGCAAGGCATGACAATACTGAGCACTTACCTATAACCACGCTGCGCATAATAACCCATCAACTCAGAAAAGGCTGGTAACTTCCTCAACTGTAGAAGAGAAAACACATTTAAGGTAGAAAATAAGTCTCTCTAATAAAGCTATAGTTGTAACAAATGCCAAAGGCACGAAAGTCTGCAAACTGCAGTTGACAGGTTGATAAAATTCAGGAGACATCAATTGTTGTGTTTATGTATTAGTTCTTTGATTAGAGTAAATGGAATAAATGGCGAAGGGATGAAACCGCAACATTGTATGAGAAGCTGCAAATAAATATAAAAAGGAATAAAACCTTTTGCCACAAGTTAGTAACTTTATCGATAAGTGAAACAGACAAACTTCCTCTATCACCGCTTTTCACTTTATACATCACCCGCACAGCAAATAAACCAGCGGCAACCTGTAAGCACTATCAACTAAAATTAAAGGTATATTCTGATGCATAAACAAGGGACAATAAGAAGAAGATTTCCAAAACATACTGAAAAGGCTCATATTGTTATAAAAAATATAACAAGCTGTTTTGGAATATTCCCCTTCACTCTGAATGTGATATTAAGAACAAAATCAGAATAAAACAATCAGTAAAACAGTGAGTAGAATTTAAATGAAAAACTGATTAAGCCCTGGAGAGTAGGAAAAGACTCTCACAATAAAGTGTTTATTTTGCCGCAAAAGAAACAAAAAAAGAGCGTCACAAAATGGAGATCCAAAGTATACTGACTTTGAACAAGAAAAACAACAGAACTAGCCCTCTAAGAAGGCAGGTAAAACCTTTAACATGATACATGAGATATCCACTTTAAATAATATATTATTTAGATAACACAACTTGTATAAGTGTATTGACATTTCAACCAAGGATGACCACCAACAAAAGGGACAAGTATCATAATTTTGACCTCAACAACCAGTGAAGTGAGAACTGCTCTTCTTCTCAGCTTCTTACTTGCCACCAAACCCTTGAGGCTGATCTATCAGAACAACTCATAAGTACATCATTACATCTCTCGAAATCAAAATGCAACTGAAAAATTCATAAAACCAAGCCACCTGATTCATTTGCTCCCTCGTCCATTTTTACAAATTCCAGTTTTGCAAGGTTAACTTTGCCACCTTTGCTGGTATATGTGTTTTCAGTTAAGCCAATCAATAACTTTTTCAATTGGTGAATCAAAGATCAGTATTCATGATAAGATTGTAGGTATCATTCTGTAACGGTAGATTCATTCTGATCCATGATAAATGGTCTCTTTCTCTGGAAGACAGGTAAAAGCAAGAGTGTAGGGGTGAATAAAGATTTCAGGTTTCTGGGTTTGCAGCTGCTAGAATTAAGCTTAGACTGGGGAAAGCACAAAGTGGTAGTTATCAGTAAAGAGAAGAGGTGATGACAAAGAAGAAAGGACTCTGGTATTCAGAAACAGAAGGGTGAAGGCTGCCAAGTAAGGTGTAAATTAGTTGGGAGTATATATAAACTGTAAAAGAGTACTAACACTTTATTGTCACTCTTAGTCTCTTTAACATTCTAAAACTCTACTGGAATTAAGCATAACAACAATTTGTTTGGGAGACCACCATTTCGCTAGAAAGGAACAGAAGATGTTTTCTGGGAGGGAAGATGTAATTTGGGAGCTTGCCTCATCTTTTGAAATTTTGCTAGTACCCTCTTGGCCCTATGTATTAACTAAAACACTGTACCTTATCCACGGAAAAAAAAAAACAGAATACCTCGGGACCCCCCTAAACTTGACATGTTTGCCTAGTCCAAATTACCCACCCTAAACTTGGCATTTCGATAGCTTCGACCCCCCCTAACCAATCTCACCTAATGGGGTGAGACATGCCCTGCCACGTAAAAAAAATTTCCATGTAACATTTTTTAAAAATACAATATTTTTATTACCTTTCTAAATTTGTTAACTTTTTGGATCATCTTTTTCAGGCCCAATTTGTTTAGGGGGAAATATGATTGTAAAGGCTCAAATTTTCTTTATTTTTTGTTAAGCTAAAAGTAATGGAGTTTCACCCAAATTTTTGCAGATCTGGCCCAAAAGAAGAAGAAACACACTGTTGAAACAAATTGTCATTGTATCTAAAGAAGAAGAAAAAAATACACAGTTAGAACTCCATTATTTTGGCTAAAAATAATAAGTACCAGATAAAAAATTTTATTGATTCGGCCCAAAAAGAAGAAATATATAGTTGAAAGAAATAGTCATTGCTTACATCTAAAGAAGGATAAAAAGAAAGAGACAGTTGGAACTCCTCTATTCTGGCTAAGAAAAATTATTTGGCTAAAAACGATAGAATTACGGCCAATTTTTTTATAGATGTGGCCCTAAAACAATAAAAATTACACTTAGTTGAAACAAATAGTCATTGCATCTAAAGAAGAAATAAAAGGAAGTAGAAAGTTGGGAACAAATATGCATGGTATGTTAAGAAAAACACAAGAAGAAATATAAATTTGGAACAAATAAATCATTCAATCTGACTACATGACGATCAATAGTTGAAAAATACCCCAGCTAGAAGCTAATTTTTCGATTTTTTTTACCCCCACGTGCCTAAAAGAGAGTGTATTCATGCTCTTTTACATGTCAGTGTTTAGGGGTCAAGGCTCTCAAACTGCCAAGTTCAGAGGGATAATCTGCACAAAAAATAGTGCAGCTGTGCACTAGATAAAACATGTCAAGTTTAGGGGGACCTCAAAGTATTCACCATAACACCAATTCTGACATTCTATCACCGCCTTAACATTGTGACATGCACCATCAAACTCAGGGTTGAATACCATTTGCTTAATTAGAAAAAGTAATACAATAAATAAACAGTCACCAAAATGTTGAACAATCACTAGAAGAGCGTTAGAATAGTATCACATGAACAATTGACAAACCTGACAAAACTTCGTCGGAATCATGCTAGGTAAGATTTGACCATGGGAATCTAGAAAAATAGTTGGAAGAATAACCAAAACAGTGGCAAGAAAGAGGCGGTTCCACCCAAACATTCACGGGAAAAGATGTGATCCTCCAGATCAGTGACCAAAAAAGATGCAGTGCCTCCAAAACATTCATCAGGGAAAACGAGAGGTGCCTCAGAACAGTCGCTGGTTAAAATGCAGAACCCCCAGAACGTGACAAAAGGAAAATAAGCGATACTGACGGGGATGGTCACCGAAGATAAGGCATAGTGATCCAAGATGGTCGACATAAATAGGAATAATACCATGGGAACTTATCACTGGGAAGACGAAAAGATAATAAAACTATGAAAACAAAGGAAGATTTGGATTGACGAACCACATGCAACATCTAATAGGTAGAAGCTGTTAAGGTCTCTATCAAGATCTTAAAGACTCTCCTGAGAAAATAAAAGAAGAGAAAGTTGTATTGATGACCTGACAATTTGATGAACATAAGATACATCTATTTATGTGTCAAACAATATACATGTATGTTTGTCCAAAGTGAAATAAAGTTTAAGACTCAACACCCCTGACATATTAACTCGAACATTCTTTTTTATGGGTATTCTAACTAGAATATTCAAGCACTAACACTTTATAATGTAACTTAACCAAATGTTATACTAATTTATTTCGGCTCCTCAAGCCACTAGCCAGAAATTACAATCTGTCCTACAATTCAAGCACCTAAAAAGCTTTAGTTTTAATCCAAAAGGTACCAATTGCAAAGTAAAAAAGAATGCTTCTACCCTTATTCACATTCACTATCAAAATGAAGCGGAACATCAGAACTAGCAATGATGTAAGCGGACATAAACCAACATAGAGACTTATTTACTACGTTCAACCTGAATGAGAAAACAAGAGTACCAGGAAGTACAGCTCACCCTTGCATGCAGATTTACAGAATCATCATACTCAAATGAAACAAACATCTTAATAGTCTCCGCATCCAATGAGCTCCCACACCACACTCCAAAAATATCCTTCAGGTTAGATGCACTTTCAGGTGTTGGTACTTTAGAGCCATCAGACCCATTATGCAATGATTTGGAAGATTCTTTTTTGACCAACTCAGAATGTAAAATCTTTTTCTGCAGGAACATCTCATAGGCCACTACATCCAATACATTATGTTGACATTGATATCTGTATACCAGATTTTGAAGCTCCAATTTAGTCGCACTTTCAGATTGGCAACTATTCTTACCAATAGAAAGCACGACAGAATTCAATAGCTTTTTCCAGAAGTCTGAGTTTCTCAGCTCATTCAGGAGATTTGTATAATGACCAGCTCCTTCCCATAATGCATTTAGGAAGTTTAGCATATTACACAGTATATGTGATTTGCTGAAAGAAACCAAAACAAATATCTTAAATCAAATCATGATGCACCTCAACAATAAAATGCCGTAAGGGATATTGTAACAATTTACGGCATAATATAAAAGACCAGAAACCTTACGTCATCACAAGATCATCAGCTCTTTTAACATAAACCCATATGGAATCTAATATATTTGCAGCATTGCACTGCAATGCATCATTGTCTCCAGGTTGATTGTCACCATTGCATGATTCAGAAATTGGATTTTCCCTCAAAGCAATCACAGCGGTAAGAAAAGAAGCCTGCGATAGAACGATTTCCAATTTAAATACAACAAAGGACCAAAATTAGTGTCTACTTCATACCCAAATCAGCACTTAAAAACTAGATTTATTAAAGGATTAGACACTAGATGTCAACAGTATCAAAAGATTGAACTACGTACCTTTTAGTGACATCTAAATTGATATGAACAGTTTATGCATGAGTTTCCATTTAAACAAAAAGAATGGCTAATCATACGATGTCATATGACACATTCTAAATAGTTATGTTGCACGGACTCTCCAAAATGATGCCGCACCAGTGTCGGATCCTCCAAAATTATACTATTTTTGGAGGATCCAACACGCACCCGGCAAGATTTTCGGAGAGTCCGAGCAACATAGCTAAATAGACAATAATCTCATATTTAAAAGTCCAAATATCTATTTTAAAAAGGGCAAATTTTTTTTGAAAAAGATTTTGAAAAGGGCAAATTTCAGAAGTATAAATATCTGGTCGAGTAAGCACATCAAAATGACAAAGTTTAACACGGCAGAATACAAGAAATTTGTATAGCACACTAAATATTAAAAAATAATAAGCTTTAGAAGACAATTCAATATGAAATCAATGACATTCAAAACGATTTCCATAGTGGACTTCAGTTATTTAGTGATAAGATGTTCATTCAGATTTCAGCTTTACCAAACAACCTATTAGTAGAGCCCTTGACATAAGGGATACATAAACAAAGGCATCATGACTAGTTTGTACAGACACACAGTATAAGATACGGCAGGATGGAGCAAGGAGTTTACATTCTCCACATGGTTGCCTAAGGTAAAAAGCAGTGGGTACAAACTGTTATTTATTGATTTTCACCCCCATTGGAACAAAAAGTAGTTGCAAACACCTGGGCAAGTGCTCCAGAAGCGTTGAATAAAGATGTACTGTATAGTCATTAACAATTCTTGATGACCTTAAAATTGATTTAAGAGGCAAAACGGTCATAATATGTCAAGTTGTCCTTCATTCTTCCCATCAAATAATTGGTGGAATATTTCAATATCAAGGAAAACTTGGGACACACCTACTACAACATCTTCCTTCTTCCCCATTTTCTTTTTTTTCTTTTTTCTTTTTCTTTTTTTGATAATCTAGAAATCCCGAGGTCAATGGTGCACGGTTCGAAACTCGATGTAGATAATGAGTCTGCCCCTGTACCCTTCTCCACTTATATACCAGGCTTTTGTCTGCAGCAAGGTTCGAACATGTGATATGCGCCTAGCCCACACATCATGTGTTGTACACTTACCACTAGACCAAAGCCTTGGGGCCAGAAGTTGGGCTGATAGTATCAGAAGTGGTACCTTATTTGTTTCCTACTTTACCCATGACCACGAACATCTGTCAACTTGGATCAAGCTTGAGGCACAAGGGCTCAAAGACTTAATGCTAGATAGTAGCTTTACAATACTCCTGGACTATAGGTCATCCAGATATACTAGGTCCCAAGTCTGGCAGTAATGCAGCAGATTATGAGCTCAAAAGGAAAGCAACTAGTAAGTTACCTGATAACGTGCAGCAGAAGCAAGCATCTTGAAAGTAGCAATTATGAGATCCTCACTTTCTACCTTCTCTTGACAAAGAATGCTACAAATCGTATTTTTAAAATTATAGATCTGCAAATGCATTTGCTGGTATCAGTTAAAAGCAGCTAACATTCAACCTTCAAAATTTTAAACTAACAAGAAAAATAACACCGATATTGTAAAGCTAAACCTGCTTGTCATCCAGACCAAAATATGCATTGCTAAGCGCACATGATTGCGAGTCGTCTGCAATAATAAACAATCTGGATTGCAGTCTTGCAGCACCCACCTGTATCTTCTGAATAGGCAGCACAAGTTCATGAGAATTTAGCTTAGTTATATTAGACCTTGGAATGACTTAAATGGAACCTATTTTGGTTTCCTTTTGAATGATAAGAACATCAAGAACTCTATTTTGAGCAATGGAAAAATATTTCTTCCAATTTTTTATACAACCCGGAAATTAAAAAAAAAAAAAAAAAATTAAAAATTGGGGAAAAGTAGATAGATACTACAACAACAACGACCCAGTGAAATTCCACAAGTGGTGTTTGAGAGAGTGTGGAGGTCAAGAATTAAGATAAAAAGTTACTAGGTGGTCGAGCGTGTCTTTTGAAAAGTAAATAGATGCATCTTAAAAATGCTGCAACCTTCAATTGGAAAGAAGAATGCACAGAAGAGAGCCAGAGGTCAAACAAATAGAACCCATACGTGCAATAAATATTTTAGATTTTGCTGATCATCAAAAACCTGTTCATTCCTTTTTTCTTTCCCCGCTAAAAGGACCTTGATGCAGCACATAAGTCTTCTTCCTCAAACATCTAAATTCAAGATCAAGTTCTTTCTTGTAGTTTATACTTTATACTCCCCAAAATTCTCTATTAGAAAATTTACAGAGTCTGATTTCATTTATAAAATTAAAACAAATCCATTTCATTTCTCTTTGTAATCAGCATTTAGGTTCGGTACGAATCTTGTCACATTTTGTTGCATAATCTAGTATTGCTAGATGCTGACATGAGGCATGTTTTAACCCTGAAGTTACGTGACACCCTGTTTAGAGATGCTTTAGTGCAGTCATCAAAGCACTAAGGCATGCACCTTATGGACTCTGTCATTAAGAGTGTAGCACTAGACGATAAATAGAGTTGGCGAATCGGTATATTGATTATTAACAAAATGTCATGAATAAATTATTTAGACAAATTAGGAATTGAGAAATTATAAATTTGTAAGGGAATTAGTTACCAAACACTTCAAGTGGCAAATTTACATCTAAATCTAAAATAGTTCTGGAACTTGATTAACATGACAGGAGTGTTCCAATCGCTTGCGCGCATCTCAACCATTGGGTACTTGTTACCTCCCACCGGCACAGGAATCAGGTAACTCTTCCTACCAAGGATTAGGCACATGGTAAGAAATCACCTAGTTTTTTTGTCTTTGCTGAGATTTGAACTCTGGTTTCCAAAGTTTGCATCCACTTCATGGACCACTACGCCACAACCTTAAATACTACCTAACATGAATACATGATTTTTACTTCCTATATTTCATTTAGTTAATTTTTTCCAATATTTTAAGTAAGTCAATTTCTCAAATAATAATTGTTTACGTAAGTCAACTTCCTTCAATTACACACATAATTTAGATTACTTCAATAGCAGTTGCCAAAGCCTTTTTTTAATTATGCTTTGCGCTTCAAACACTGGCAGACCTTGACATTTTTCTATATTCTTCAGCTTTGGCAACTTTGGTATAATCTAAATCTCTCTTAAAGGTCATTTTTCTTTTTCTTTGGATTCATATCCCTTCCCCTTGCTTAGTTAATAGTAATTTTAAAATATTTTCTTTTTCTTAGTTAATGACATGTGTCACGACTCCATTGGTGCGTGACATACACTTGTTTGGAAAAAGCGATTAAATACCAATGCGATGTGTAAAAGACACAATAGGAAAAAGGTTTTGGTTTGAGAAGGCTGCCCGTGTAACAGGGGTGTGTCAAAGGGATTTGCGTTCAAGATGAGAGGGCAAAGTACGGATTAACCCAAATTGTAAAGGAAACCGACTTTAGGTCTAACTCATCCCCAAAAGCTAGCTTATGAGGTAAGGATTTAACCAAACCATACAAGGAGATAATAACCCATTCTCTCCATGTAGGACACTTAACAAACCATTCCCCCGAACACACCAAGACAATATATCTTAGCATGTGGACTACATAGAGCACACTTTCTTTTTACCCAAGAATAGGAATGGGTTGATATATCATGTTAAGAGAAAGAATCTTAGGCGTAACTCAACTACAATAGTTAAATCATGAGGTGAGGATTGTCTAACACCGTATAAGGAGATAACAATTCATTCCTTTAATCAATGTGGGACACGTAACAAAAATTATGCAACTAGATACACATGTAAAATCGCATGAAATAAATTAATTTGGAAAAACGCTCCTTGATAGACACATATGGCATGAAGAACATGAATTGAGGAAAGTGGCAGAAGCTAGATGCAAAAGTAAAACACTGAATTCATGATGGTTTTGAATATAAGCTATAACATGTGACTCTAGCTGCATCATTTCAGTTGGGATGGGCTACAAATACAAAGACTATGAAGCAGAAAACAAAGGATCTTTCAAGGATTATGCCAGGGGAATACTCTTTTTTCAAAAGAAAGGTTAATAACTTTACTAAAAATGGGATAAAAACTCCCGTGTAAAAGCAGTATACCAACAAGCATACCAGGATAAATTATAGTCGTTTCAGAATAAAGGCTGAGATAGCAGTTTACCTTGAATGGGATAAAAACATAATATAAAATTGTCAGAGACTTTGGGATAGTACATGAAATTCACATGTTTTGTTTTGACTTTTGACCATTATTGTTGTATACCAAAATAAAAAATGTGAAAGTATCCCCTCTCTGACAACATACGCTTTTAAGTGAAGGGACACTCCATGCAACATAGAACCAGAGCAAGCAGAGCTCCTGATTCGAGTCTTACTGGCACCCAATTAATAAAACAATTTTCCACATGCTTGGCCAAAAACAAAAGAACTAGGCAAGCACGTGAGAAGACGTGTTTGCAGACCTAAATAAATAAAGGTGTCCCCTCTCTGACAGCATATGCTTATAGATGAGGTGGTCAATTAATTCAACAATTACCACTACTGATAACTTTGGCAAGTTGAGGAAAGTAGGTAGCTGACTGAAAGAAATTCGATCCAAATTTAGATTAGACTAATGCAACTATCAGGCTTGGAAATGAGACAGCACCGCAGAAACAGGATTTCAGCACCGGTCCAGCAATACCTGACCTCAATACGAAAATTACCACTGTAAACCATGATAACACAGGAAGAATAGGGACCGACAATCTTCAAAACCTTAACACAGTTAAAGGAAATAATCTAGTGAAACTGTATTATCCCAACAATTGCAAGGGTGATATCAAAGTGAATGCATCCATGCTCTAGCGAAATGAACAGAAAATTCCTTAATTCCGAAGAAATGTGGTAAAACAACAAAGCAAGTGCATTTTAACTAAATAGTGATGATAATATCAGGATTTACAACATACAGGATTTCGGAAGAATGACATCAATGATATCGCTGCGGTAACCACAGGCACTGGTTTTGTCGTCGACGACATGATTGCCTGATGAAAGACAGTGAAATTGGGCACATCCTGAAATGAAGCACAAGCAGGTCTTAGTATCTGCTTCGAACATATCATAAAAGTCAAACAAGATCAGGGATATCCGTGACCAGTGGTCACTTGAAACTAAAGTTCAGTCAGCCTGTGTGCTGTAAATTATTTGTATACACTGATTCCAGCAGTAAAAGAAAGCAGAAAATAGAACTCTGAATTCTATAAATACCACAGATGAGAGAGAAAGAAACAACTCAAACAGGGTGTAGGTATGAAAAAAGAACTCTGACAAAGATCATAAATTCCAAGCTGGGACCCCTTTCACTTTATTAAAGATCAGAATACTTTACTCAGATCTCTCAAAATAATGCAAGTGTCATTGGCACCTGGTGTTGTTGACAACAGACTCAATCTGCATCCCCAGAAAAATTACTCGGATTCAACAACAACAAGATTAGCTAGTGTATTCCCACATTGTGGGGTCTGGGGAGGGTAAAGTATATGTAGACCTTACCCCTACCTTGTGGAGGTAGAGAGGATGTTTCTGAAAAACCCTCGGCTCAAGAAAAACAATTCACATCAGGTTTGAACAAGAGAACAGTAATGAAGAGGCCTTGTTGAAAATACTAAAAAAAAGAACATTAACAACAGCAAAATAACAAAGCAATAAGAAAACCGAACAACGGATAATAATGGAAATCGCAGAATAAGAAAAATACGAAATGATAATACTAATACTGATATATGGGACAAAAGGAGCAGATACGGTGTCTCAAACTCGACGGCCTACTAACCTTTTACCCTAATCTTTGACCTCCATATCTTCCTATCTAGGGTCATGTCCTCGGTAAGTTGGAGACATGTCATGCCCTGTCTAATCACTTCCCCAATACTTTTTTGGCCTACCCCTACCTATCCTCGGACCCGCAATAGCTAACCTCTCACACCTGCTCACTGGGGCATCTGTGCATCTCCTCTTTTTACATGCCCGTACCATCTCAGTCTCACTTCCCTCATCTTATCGTCCATAGAGGCCACACCCACCTTGTCTCGAATAACTTCGTTCCTAATCAAATCTCTCCTAGTACGCCCACATATCAACCTCAGCATCCTCATTTCCGCTACTTTCATTTTATGGGCGTAAGAGTTCTTGAAAGAAAAATAAAGTCAGATTGAGCCCAAAAAAGAAAAACGCATACTATATTGCTCTCATCCTCTCTCACCCACAGGAGAAGCAGTCATCCCAGGATGAATTTCTCAAGCATTTCTATTCCCATAGAAATAAGCTAGTTAGTAAAAGACGAGAATGAAATTGTCTTTATTAAACCTGAGGTGGAAAAGAAAGGGGCACCGGGATAAAAGAAAAGTGAACTTCCTTCCAAGTCGTGCAACCCTTCAAGAAATTCAAAGTAAGAGATGCTAGTTGCGAAAAATTTATGAAGCATACCCTTGAGAGATCAGAAAGCATACTGGAAAGAATATCCAATCCCAAGACAATTGCCTGTTGTAAACCTTCGATTTCTGTCAGCCCATAAAGCCGGCTAAAATAGAGCTTCTGTTGAAGGTGGAGATAAAACATAAAACATAAAAAATGGTTACTAGAGTTTATCTTCAAAAGATAAAGCAATGTACTGCTGATTCTACATGCTGGCTGAGCATTCAGAGCGCATTAGGAGTTTATTAGCATATTCAAAAGCTGCAAGATTCACCTCAAGGCCATCTGAAGTTGTACAAACAAGTCGAAATAGTGCAGTGTGGATTGAAGAATCACCAAGTAAAATATCCGTGACCACTTCACCAAGTTTCTGGATATTTGAAATTGACAGAATGCATTTCTTCAATACTTCAAGCACCTAGAAGCAAATAAAAACAAAGTCCATTTCCCTTAGCGCTCAACAAAAAGTATTACATTTTAAATGATTATAAAGTCAATATGTAACACAAATAGAATGACTCAGTAAATAAATCAATACTGGTGGGTACTCCACCATCTGAAAAGAGATGGACTAGGATTGCAATCGCAGTTAACTTTCACCCTTCAACAACAACAGAAGTCGCATTAATCAAGCTGACTGTACACCTTTTCACATGAAATATTTACACAAATACATACATATGTATGCATGTATTGGTGTTAGATAGCAGCCTGAGAAAAAAATCATCTCAATAACCACCTACTATCATGCACCAGCCGCATCTCACCCAAGCAAACTTCATACTAAATCACACTGTTTCTCTTTGAGGGAGAAGGCTCGATGTAGGATTCATTGTGTAATATTGGAGCATAATAGACCAAAATACGATAAGCTAGTAAGCTAATCAGAATTAAAACATGATTGACTAAAAATTCCTTATGCTCCCCAAAGAATTATAACGACTCCGCAAAGAATGATAATCACACTATGTAATAGACAATGTAGGATTAACTTCCAAATGATAACCCTCCAAATGTCTGAGAAATAATTCAACAGCATTAAGCTACTCCTTCAAACAAAAAAGCAAAACTACTCCATAGGTCTAAAATATCACATTCTACTTTTTGAGAATCAGTATAAAATTCGACTAAGAGTTGTTTAAACAACTTCTTTGGTACATTAAAGCAAAATTTTCTCAGTACTTCCATCTGCTGTCTAATTCTCTTAGTATAATTTCCAAAGAAATTCTCTCTGCAGATTAGTGATGTTCACTCTCAAAAAGCAAAAAGTGACGGCCAATATTTGGTGGAAGGGGTTATAAATCGAAAAAAGCTTGACCTTCCCCAAATTGGTACATTACGTGAATAATTATAGTTGTAATGGAGCTTCCATAACCCTCGTATTCTATATCGTTCCGAGTAAAGGAGACAAACAAAAACAGCACCCAAAGATTCTCAAAGAAAAGGACTGCCTTGCATCCAAAGCACGTAAAAGTTATAAGAAGAAAATTACATACCATGTAAGTAAGCATAGCTGTTTAAATTATAGGAAATCCAAGGAATACCTTCAGAGTCACCTTCCAGCGAGCATGCTTGACTTTATAATTCCAGAATTCATGATTAACAAGGACATACTGAATGGAGAAAATGACAAGTGCAAGGACAACATCATTTTCCATTCCAGCATCCACAAGCTGCATGGTGAGGTCAAGCACTGAAGATCACAAAATAGCGTGTAAGGACCTACATAAAACGATCTAAAGAATCTAGTCGCACAATAGAAGAAAATATGCCACCATGATTAATGGTCAATGTCAATGAGACACCGAAAAACAAATTGGATTAGAAAAACGGAGCAAGATATGTATTTTTTTTATGTAATCAACAAGTTAACAACAGAAGAAAATAGACTCCCTGTATAGCTGCAATCAGAACGCCGATGACATCATATAAGATACAAACATGTTATACATAATTGATGAACATAAATAAATCAATACAACTAAATGACATGCCTGAAAGAGTCAATTGACAATCATTCTGCTCACAGTCGATCAAAAGCATTTTTGAGAGCCGACCAGAAAGCAACCACGATCCACTAAAGTAGCCACAAAAAACACACAGAATAAAATGTCAAGATAAGTTTGGTTTTTCTAGAATTAGAGAAGTTTCCTGAGATATTTAAAGACATCAGGCTAAACAGCAAATCATAAGAAATAAAACTATGTCGGCCATGGCATATCACACATCAGGTTTTTTTTATATTGCAGACAACCAATAAGTCTGATTGACGATTCAATCTTGAATAAAAATAGCAGTAACACAAAAGGAGGAGGAAAAAGAAAAGGTAAGCCACACAAAAAGAAAAGTGACCGCGTCGAAGAAAAGTTTTACAGCAAGCAAAATCTGTTGACGAGTTGCCATGGGAAAAAGGTTTGCTTTGTAAGCCTTGCCATACATATTCAACCCATTCCAGCTCCAGGTGTGCTTGATTCAGAGAGTGCACGAAGGGAAAGTTCAAAAGACAGAAATCCAGAAATTAATTCAGAGTATATTATTATTCAAAAGGTTACGGCCCAAGCAGTCTAGAGCAGTCAGAGGCCATTAGTACAATCTCAACCAGATTGTATCCAAAAGTACTCAAAAGGTTATGGTTAAGCAATCACAAGCAACCTGACAACATACACCAGATTGTGGCCATAACATTCATGGACATGTACAAGCATGCAAGTTCTATATGAAGTAGGAGCATAGGTGGACCCTTTTCACCTCGACAAGCCATTGGAGCCAATTCTGAAAGGATTTGTTTTAAACGCAACATCAAAGATATTCGCCTGGACTATCAATCTGGAAACATGATACGGTGAGCTGCAATAAGAAAAAGCAAGAATTAGAAAATCTAACTAGCATAATAAATGACAAAATAGTGATAAAGCGCCTCATAGAAAGGGCAGCCCGGTGCACAAAGCATCCCGCTTTCACGCAGGGTCAGGGAAGGGCCCCCGGGGGGTGATGTAGACAGCCAACCCTAATGGTAGATTCCATTATTTATTCAACAGTGAGATAAACACAACTCAATAGCTACTTATATTACCTCTGACAACATAATGCTTATTCAATAACCCAATAAAAGATAAACCTACCAGATAAAGTAATATAGCAAGCTTCTCTTCAAAATTCTAGATTCAGTAGCATTCAAGGGAGTGAAGAGAACTAAAAACATTAAAAGTAAATAACTTAAGAGACAAAAGACTTACCATTTTAACATTTTTGCCAAAATGTTAACTCCCATCGACATCAACACCACATCAGAGCAATTAGGAGATAAATTCTTGATCCAAGCACAAATGATCTCGGCCACATTAAGACTGCATTTGAAGAAGGGATGTTATTTGATCAAAAAAATGGTAATTTTCCTAGAATTTAGGATTTCTTTCATATGTAACTAGCATATAGGATAAATTCAATTGGAAACAGTAGATGGAGGTAGATTAATGAATCCTATAGTCATACCGCAAGTTTTCTGTTGGTGAGTTCATCTCATCATGCATATAGCCACCACCAAGGTCCAGAAGAGCAGAACAAACACCCTAGCGACATCAAATATTACCAGCAAGAAAACATCAATAGCTGAAACAATTGTTGCCATGCCAAGAAAAACAGACGGCAAACAGACTTAACAAAAGTCTTGTCATCATTTTTTTTTATCAAGTAAATAATTTTCCATTAAAGAAAGGCCAAAAACAAAAGTGACCGTATACAAGGGGTATACCAAAAAAAGGAACCCTACAGAAAGATATGGTTCTTGTTAGTTGCTATGTTTTAGGACTGCAGTTTAGCTTTGAATAGTAGCAGTTACTTTGACTGCAGTTACTTAGTTTAAATTCTGCAGTTATTATTTTCCCAGTATCTTTGTTAGTTTTTTTTAAGTAGATCATGTGCTGATATTCAGGACCATGAAGTTAGTAGTTAAGTTTTTCTTATAAATTGTAACTCAGATTACAATGAAAAGTATCCTTGTTCTGTATTAGTCTTATGCTCTCTCTTTTCAGATTTCTTCTCTGTTCTTCATTCCTTTAATATTCTGCTCTTTCATTAATCACAAACATTCACTTGTTTTCTGGTTTGTTGATTAAAGTTAACAACAATTGGTATCAGAGCTCTTTTTCTTGAGGGGCCTGTGTGAGTGCAAGCAGATTCTGTGGACACCATGGACGGAGAAACAAGCTTTTCTTCGATCGCACCACCAACCTTTGATGGAGAAAGTTATCAGATCTGGGTAGTTAGAATGCAGACCTATTTGGAAGTGTTGGATCTTTGGGTAGTTATTATGCAGACCTATTTGGAAGCGTTGGATCTTTGGGAGGCTGTTGAAGATGATTACGAGATTGCTCCCTTGCCAAACAATCCCACGATGGCTCAGATCAAAAATTACAAGGAGAGGAAAACCAGAAAGTCAAAGGCAAAGGCATGCTTGTTTGCTGCAGTTTCATCCACCATCTTCACTCGTATCATGTCTCTGATGTCAGCAAAAGAGGTATGGGATTATCTCAAGACTGAATATGAAGGAGATGAAAAAGTTCGAGGAATGCAAGTGCTGAATTTGGTGCGTGAATTTGAGTTGCAAAGGATGAAAGACAGTGAAACCATAAAGGAGTATTCTGACAGACTTCTTAACATAGCAAATCGTGTCAGATTGTTGGGTTCCACTTTAAACGATTCAAGGATCGTTGAGAAAATCCTTGTAACGGTGCCGGAAAGATTTGAGGCTACCATTACAACCTTAGAAAATACTAAGGACTTGTCCAAAATTACACTAGCAGAGCTCTTGAGTGCTTTTCAAGCACAAGACCAACGACGTGTTATGAGACAAGAAGGAGCTGTTGAAGGAGCCTTACCAGTTAAGCATCAAGACAGTAGAAGAAACCAGAAGAAGCAGAACAAAAAGATCCAAGGAGCAAACAATGAGAATGTTGGACACAGAAACAAAATCAAGACCGGAAGCAAGAAGACAAACTTTCCTCCTTGTCAACATTGTGGTAAAAAAGGTCATCCTCCTTTCAAATGTTGGAGGAGACCTGATGCGAAGTGCAGCAAGTGCAATCAGCAGGGTCACAAAGCTGTAATTTGCAAAAGCAAAATTCAGCAACATGAAGCAGAAGCTCAAGTTGTTGAACAAGAAGAAGACGATCAACTCTTTATTGCAACTTGTTTCACAAGCCGCGATTCAAGCGAAAGTTGGTTAATTGATAGTGGCTGCACTAACCACATGACGTATGATAAGGCGCTGTTCAAAGATTTAAGGAGCACTGAGACAAAGAAAATTAGAATTGGAAATGGTGAGTATATTCCTGCTAAAGGCAAGGGCACCATTGCCATTGCAAGTTGTTTAGGAACTAAGTTTATCACAGATGTTCACTATGTCCCCGATATTGATCAAAATTTGCTAAGTGTTGGTCAATTAATGGAGAAAGGATACGAACTTCACTCCGTAAACAAAGCATGTGTGATAGAAGATCCATCAGGCCATGAGATATTCAAGGTCAAAATGGTGGGCAAGAGTTTCTTACTAAATCCGTTGGAGGAGGAGCAAACTGCTTTTCAAGTCAAAGAAAGTGTCACAGAAGTTTGGCATAAGAGGCTAGGGCACTATCATCATGAGGGGTTGTTGCAGATGAAATCTAAAAGAATGGCAAATGATCTTCCAGAGTTCGATGATCCCATTCCAAACTGCAGAGCATGTCAGTTTGGAAAGCAAAATAGGAAATCCTTTCCTAAGTCAACCTGGAGAGCCACTCACAAGCTGTAACTGATCCATACAGATGTATCTGGTCCTCAAAGAACTCCGTCATTAGCAGGTAGTCGATATTATATTGCTTTCATTGATGACTTTACAAGAATGTGCTGGATTTACTTCTTGAAATTCAAATCAGAAGTAGCTAGAGTGTTTTGGAAGTTCCAGAAAATGGTGGAAAACCAAAGTGGCTGCAAAATTCAAGTTCTAAGGTCAGATAATGGAAAAGAATACACCTCAGAAGAATTCAATTTGTTTTGTGAGGAATCTGACATTGAACACCAGCTTACTGCTCCCTATACTCCGCAACAAAATGGAGTTAGTGAAAGAAGAAACAGATATATCCTAGAGATGACAAGATGCATGTTACATGAGAAGAATTTACCCAAGCAATTTTGGGCAGAAGCCGCTCATACGGCTGTTTTTTTACAAAACAGGCTTCCCACAAGAGCATTGAAGAATCAAACACCCTTCGAAGCATGGTATGATTATAAACCATCTCTGAATTTTCTTAGAGTATTTGGCTGTTTGTGCTTCAGTCACGTTCCACAGATCAAGAGGGATAAATTAGATAAAAGAGCACTTCCAGGCATCTTTATTGGCTATAGTTCTGTTGCAAAAGCTTAAAGTATTTCAGCCACAAACGGGAAAAATTATTGTAAGTAGAGATGTGCACTTTATGGAAGATGAAGAGTGGAACTGGGACGATGCAGATAAGAAGGATCCAACTTCAAAGTTCAGTTGCCTGCTTCAGATACATTAGATCAAACTATCACAAGAGATGGGCAAAATGATTTAATGGATCACATCCCTGTTCGAGGCACACGATTACTTTCTGATGTTTATCAAAGAAGTAACATTGCAATTTGTGAGCCCGGTGATTACGAAGAAGCCAAGAAGAATGAAGATTGGAGTTCTGCAATGTAAGAGGAGTTGCTCATGATTGAAAAGAACAAAACATGGGAGTTAGTTGATCGACCTCAAAACAAAAAGGTGATTGGAGTCAAATGGGTGTACAGAACTAAGCTTAATGCTGATGGCTCAATCAACAAGCATAAAGCTAGGCTCGTGGTCAAAGGATATGCTCAAATATTCGGTGTGGACTACTCAGATACCTTCGCACCAGTAGCAAGACTTGACACTATTAGGCTCTTACTCGCTGTTGCAGCACAAAAGAAATGGAAAGTGTACCAGTTAGATGTCAAATCAGCATTCTTGAATGGTTTTCTGCAGGAGGAGATCTATGTAGAACAACCAGAAGGCTATGTGAAAGAAGGAAAAGAAGATAAAGTCTATCTTTTTAAAAAGGCACTCTACGGATTGAAACAAGCTCCAAGAGCTTGGTACAGTAGAATTGATGACCATTTACTCGGTTTAGGCTTTGAAAAAAGCTTATCTGAGTCCACTTTGTATGTCAAATATAATGGAAATGATACTCTAATCATTTCACTTTATGTTGACGATCTTCTGGTTACAGGAAGTAGTGCACATCAAATTGAAGATTTCAAACAAGAAATGATGAAAGTGTTTGAAATGACAGATCTTGGGCTTATGTCTTACTTCCTCGGCATGGAGATTAAACAAGATCGGGGTGAAGTGTTCATTTGTCAAAAAAAATATGCAAAAGAGATACTAAAAAAGTTTTGCATGGAAGACTGCAAGGAGATGGGCACACCAATGAATCAAAAAGAAAAATTGAGCAAAGAAGATGGAACACAGAAAGTGGATGAGTCATATTTCAGAAGTTTGGTTGGGTGTCTGATGTATCTAACAGCAGCAAGGCCTGACATCCTCAATGCTGTAAGTATTCTATCTCGCTTCATGCATTGTGCAAGTGAAGTGCATTTAAAGGCAGCAAAAAGGGTGATCAGATATGTCAAAGGAACGACTGATTTTGGAATCAAGTTTAAAAGTTGTGAACAACTCAAACTAACTGGTTTTTCCGACAGTGATTGGGGTGGTTCAGTTGGCGACATGAAGAGCACTTCTGGATACTGTTTCACTATTGGTTCAGGTGTCTTTTCATGGAGTTCAAAAAAGCAGGATACAATAGCTCAATCGACAGCAGAAGCAGAATTTGTGGCAGCAGCAGTTGCGGTGAATGGGAGATCTTCATCTTGAGCAGAAAGAAGAAACTGAGATATTTGTTGACAATCAGGCTGCAATAGCTATTTCACATAATCCAGTTTTCCATGGAAAGACGAAACACTTTAATATCAAGTTGTTTTTCTTGAGAGAAGTCCAGAAGAATGGGGAGGTGACTCTCATTTATTGCAAATCAGATGATCAATTAGCTGATGCTTTTACCAAACCATTGTCAGTTCACAAGTTCGAGTCTTTGAGATCGAAACTTGGTGTCTGCAGATCCTAAAGCAAGGAGGAGTGTTAGTTGCTATGTTTTAGGACTGCAGTTTAGCTTTGAATAGTAGCAGTTACTTTGACTGCAGTTACTTAGTTTAAATTCTGCAGTTATTATTTTCTCAGTATCTTTGTTAGTTTTTTTTAAGTAGATCATGTGCTGATATTCAGGACCATGAAGTTAGTAGTTAAGTTTTTCTTATAAATTGTAACTCAGATTACAATGAAAAGTATCCTTGTTCTGTATTAGTCTTATGCTCTCTCTTTTCAGATTTCTTCTCTGTTCTTCATTCCTTTAATATTCTGCTCTTTCATTAATCACAAACATTCACTAGTTTTCTGGTTTGTTGATTAAAGTTAACAACAGTTCTCTACAAAAGTCACCCAATCTTCTATACAACAAGCAACTTCATGGGTGCACCAAAAGAAAATAAGGGATCAAAACTACTCAACTGGGCAAAGCTCATCTCTACCCCTTCAAAAGCACTTCAAAAGTCTCGTCATCATTTCCCTTGAATTCAACAAATTTTCCATATTAAGGAATCAAAAGTTTCCCATTACTTGGAGTCTTTCACATTAATTGTTGTAAATTCTTTATTACTTTATGTCTGATGGTTTTTCTCCAAAAATTTGAGCAAATATAGAAGCAGTCGAAAACTCTTATTCACCGCCTCTCTAGGGTCAACTAAGGGTTTTGCGGCTCTTATTCCAGCCTTAACTAACTCAATCTCAACCAATATAAAGGATAAACACTGGAAATGAAAAATACCAAGAAACACTTCCTATTCCAGAAAGCAAAAGGACTACAGTATGAACGCAGGAAGGATAGATTGAGAACCCATGGTTGAAATAACAATTCTATGCGTGAAATGGCTCAGAAATCTGACTTATGGGGAGACATTTTATCTTGTTCTCTTTTTGAATACATAATAGCCACCTCTACTTTCGATATTTGAATGTACAGAGGAAACTACTACACCTGCAGATTTCTCTTGTCCTTTCTTTTCACACGGAACAACAGAGTTGAATGTGGAAAGTTGGTCCTAAACAAAAGGAGTCAATGACTCCCTTATAAAGCATATAAGGAAGGTTGAATTCCAGATCCGTCTCTCTGCTCAGCCTTGACTAGAAGTTATGTTACTAGGGAAACATGTGCAAGCCTTTGTTAACAAGAAATTTGAGCATAGCCTACCATACTGGAGACATATTAACGCAATTATTCCAAACACGTGCTAAATACCTAAAAAGTTATACAGCCATCTCAAGACCTAATGGCCAGATGACTGTACTTGCTGCGGGATAACTGATAAGGATCTAGTCACTAAACAGTCTAGTGTCTAAGCAAGTTAGTGATCTCAGTCTAACTTGTTTCTACCCCTTTAGAAAAGGGAACAAGGAAGCATTTAAAAGGTTTGCTTCATTCTCCCTTCAGCTTTTCCCAATGTAGCAAGAAAGCCAAATATTTTTGGAGGCCTGCAACTGTAGAAGTTAAGCAACTATGGTTTGAGCAAATTTCCGCAATTTGTGAAGATAACTGTTTGGCAGGCTGTTGGAGCTTGTGTAACAAAATACCTTAGCCCGAACTTCATCCATTTTGAGATTTTATCTCTTTTGCAGCACAGTACCTCTCACATTCATTAAGAAACATCTAGTAGTTGCATAATCTGCTCTCCTCTTACTCCCTTAAAAACCCATCTTTTTTAACAGAGAGAAAAAAATGAGCAAACATGAACTGAGCAACTAATTGAAACTGAGAAGACCTCTTTGCCTACAACTAAGCGAAATTGAACAGCTTAAACTTAGCATAGACTTGAGAAAGACACATGACATTGCAGGGCTTGTCTTCCCAAAACATTTGTTTTGAGTGTTCGACTAAACAAACAAAGTCACTGCTGTTTTCTCCGAAAGTATGGTAGAAGGGCGGCATTTACAGAACAAGAGCAGTCACTCCTGCAGCCCTTGTTGCAGATGACCGACAACCACACTAATCTTTAGGACAGTAGAAACGGAAGCAATGAGAGAACTAAGATTCAAGAAGTAGCATAAAAAACATCATCTGCGAACATCATCTGCTACCACCAGTGCCTTTGAAATCAAATTTATCACACATCATCGCCCACACTAAAATCAACTAAGATATCAGTGCAAATGCAGTAGCATGGATGCACTAACCTGAAGGAACGACTCTGACACTTAGATTGGACTGATACAATAGATATATCAAAATAACTGTGCAAGAAAAAATTAACTCCACGTGGATTACCATGTTGAAAGTCACAAGTCGGCTGAGCAACCGAAGAGTCAGAAGGACATCACTGGTTTTCTCCAAGTACAGCCCTTGGGCCAAACGCAAAAGAAGCACGAAAACCCCAGATCGCGAAAACTACAAAGTAGCAAGTTATGGTTACAAAAACTGAATATATAATAAAAAGGGTTTGAATTTCAGATTAATTACCATCAGGAAGAAGAAGATAAAATGGAAACAGCTGCAAAGAGAGATATGCTATTCGCATTTACATAAGAAATCCCAAAAGTAAATAAAAAAGTACTTAAAATACAAGCAACAGCAAAAGGGAACTGAAAGGATATCCTTTGGTAATGAAATATTGTTCTGAAGTATTCAAATTTCCTGTAAATATTGTCAATGCTAGTAGAGTGAGAATGGATGCATATCAGGTCTTTCTGAAAGCATATTAGCAGCAAAATATGATAAAATATGAGTATTTTATATTCCTCTAATAATTTTCCTTTTTTTGTTGGAGGAGGGGGTATGATTTTCATTTTCTCTTATATTATAGCTTTATATTCACCCAAGTAAAAGAAAAGTAACAACCTTGGTTACAGATAATTTTGGAGAAATGACTAGCATATTTTGAGCAACATGACACATAATATATAGAGACAACAACAACCCAGTAAAAATCTCACTAGTGGGGTCTAGGGAGGGTAGAATGTACGCACACCTTACCCCTACCCCGGAGGGGTAGAGAGGCTGTTTCCGGGAGACCCTCGGCTCAGAGACAAAAGATCCGTAACAACAGAAACAAGACAAATAATATCAGCACCGTAGGAGACAACAAATAAGTGGAAGGACAATAATAATGATAAAGATAAAAATAGTATGATGAAACAAAAATCGCTAGCAATCCTAGAAAAAACACTATCAGACTAGCCGGAACGAGGAAAAACGCTCGACTACCCCCTAACCTACAACCCTAATGCTCGACCTCCACACCTCCCTATCCAGGGCCATGTCCTCGAAAATTTGAAATTGCGTCATGTCCTGCCTGATCACCTCGCCCCAATACTTCTTAGGCCGCCCTCTACTTCTTCTCGTACCTGTCAAAGTCAACCGCTCACACCTCCTAACCAGGGCATCTAGGCTTCTCCTCCGCATGTGCCCGAACCATCTAGGCCTCGCTTCCCGCATCTTGTCGTCCATGGGAGTCACGCCCACCCTCTCCCGAATATCTTCATTTCTAATCTTTTCAAGCCTCTTGTGCCCGCACATCCATCTCAACATCCTTATTTCTGCTACTTTCATCTTCTGAATATGAGAATTCTTGACTGGCCAACACTCAGCCCCATACAGCATAGCCGGTCTAACCACCGCTCTATAGAACTTAACTTTAAGTTTCAGTGGCACCTCCTTGTCACACAGGACTCCAGACGCTAACCTCCATTTCATCCACCCCACCCCGATACGGTGCGTGACATCCCTATCGATCTCCCTATCTCCCTGGATAATTGACCCTAGGTACTTGAAACTCTCTTAGGGATGGCTTGTGAGTCAAGCCTCACCTCCTCATCCGCTTCGCCGACATATCGTTGAACTTGCACTCCAAATAATTCGTCCTGGTCCTACTCAACTTGAAACCTTTAGCCTCCAAGTCTGCCTCCAAACCTCCAATCTCTCATTAACGCCACCTCTTGTCTCATTAATCAGAACTATATCATTAGCGAACAGCATACACCATGGCACCTCCCTTTGAATATGGTGTGTCACTGTGTCCATCACCAGGGCAAATAAGAACGGGTGAGCGCAGATCCTTGGTGTAACCCCATAACCACCGGAAAAGGCTCTGAGTCACCTCCCACAGTCCTAACACGAGTCTTAGCTCCATCATACATATCCTTTATTGCCCTAATATAAGCTACCAGCACACCTTTTACCTCCGGGCATCTCCAAAGAACCTCCCTAGGGACCTTGTCATATGCCTTCTCTAGATCAATAAACACCATGTGCAAATCCCTCTTCCTATCTCTGCACTGTTCCACCAACCTGCTGATAAGGTGGATAGCTTCCGTAGTAGAACGACCCGGCATGAATCCGTGCTGGTTTTCTGATATAGATACCGCCCTCTTTACCCTCCCTTCCACCACCCTCTCCCAAACTTTCATGGTATGACTTAGTAACTTAATACCCCTATAGTTGTTACAATTCTGGATATCACCTTTGTTCTTGTACAACGGGATCATCGTACTCCATCTCCACTCATCTGGCATCCTCTTCGTCCTGAAAATAACATTAAACAGCCCAGTCAGCCACTTCAAGCCTGCTCTACCCACACACCTCCAAAATTCTACTGAAATCTCGTCTGGTCCGGTCGCTTTGCCCCGACTCATCCTACGTATCGCTCCCACGACCTCCTCCGCCTTAATACGCCTACAGTACCTAAAGTCTTGTTGACTCTCGGAGTGCCCCAATTCCCCTAACACAATGTTTCGTCCCCCTCTTCATTCAGAAGTCTATGAAAGTACTACTGCCATCTCTGCTTAATCTGGGCCTCTTCCATCAATACACGACCTACCTCGTCTTTGATGCACCTCACTTGATCTAGGTCACGAGCCTTCCTCTCTCTCATTTTGGCCAGACGAAATAACTTCTTGTCCCCACCTTTACCCCCCAGTTCCTCATACAGTCGCGCAAATGCAGCAGTCTTAGCCTCCGTGACCGCTAATTTCACCTCCCTCCTAGCTTCCTTATATCTTTCTCTGTTCGCTCTCCTCTGCTCCTCGTCAGTGCTCTCCACTAACTTAAGGTAAGCCACTTTCTTTGCTTCCACTTTACTCTGGACCACGTCATTCCACCACCGGTCGCCTCGGTGCCCACCCGAGTATCCCTTCGAGACCCCTAACACCTCTCTCGCCGCCTCCTTTATACAGTCCGCCGTCGCCGTCCACATAAAGCTAGCATCCCCACCCCTCTTCAAGGCTCCCATAGCCGACAACCGGCCCTCCAACTCCTGAGCATTATCCTTAGTCAAGACTCCCCACCTGATCCTCGGTTGACCCCGTACAAACCTCTTCTTCCTGTTTATCAAGATACTAATGTCCATCACCAAGAGTCTATGCTGTGTCGCCAGGTTCTCAATCGGAATCACTTTACAATCCTCGCACAACCCCTTATCACACCTCCTGAGGAGAAGATAATCAATCTGAGTCTTAACTTTAAAGACCTTCAGCACATCAAAAACTTGAAAAAGAAAATTTTGAGCATGCTCAGTAATCCAGAGTAAACCAACAAATGTGCTGATTGGCTAATCTTTAGAGAAAAGTTTTAACTTCTTGGGTGTATTTCAGGTTCAGAACTATGTGAGTGCTACAATCTCTGATTAATCATCAAATAACACCTACAAAAAAATAGACCTATAAACGATAAGAAATCCAGGCAATTTCAAGCAAATTACACACTCAAACACACTGCTAGTCCTGCGCTCAAGTCCATTAGGGGCATTGGTTTATCAGAGTGCACCACACAGCAATGTAGGTGTGCTTCACCTCTGGCGCACTGCGCACCACACTCTAAAACTTGAAAAGAAGATATTAAGCATGATCAGTACCAGGATGAGCCAATTTGCTGATTTGGTCAAACTTCATATACAAGATTCAGTTTCCTAGGTGCATTAATGGTTCAGAACATGTGTATGCATGACATTCTCTGACTAATCACCAAATACAACCGAGAAATAAATGGACCAACAAACGATAAGAAATCCAGCGTCAAATAGCAATTTTTAAGTGAGCTATACTTTCAATCACACTACTAGCTGTTTTCCAGTACAAGAGGGGCATTGTCTTATCAGAGTGCAAAACACAGCAACATGAGGAGTGATTCACCTGTAACACATAATGCATAGATTTGCACCTACTGAACGTTTAACCAACCACAATAAGACTCCATCTAGGATTCAATTTTTTATTTGCTAAAATGAGTTCAAAGGAATTTATTCACTATAGAATTTGCATACATAATCATATAGAAGGGAAATAAAGAAGTCCAATGTCAACATCCAATAAAGCTCTAAACCTACATAATCATAGTGGAAAATAAAGAAGTCCAGTGTCAACATCCAATAAAGCTCTAAACAGTGAAGCTCAGCTATTCAGCAATAGAATTTTGCAAAATCGAAGTCACAAAATAAATTTTGTCAAAGAAAGGTATCAGCAGAGAAACTAACAGCAAGATATACATGAAATTGAAGATGAATGCAGCATAATTAGCTCCTGGAAAGTACAACTTTCAAAACTTAGAGACAGCTTCCTCACCTAGCTAGTGGCAGAAAGAATCTATGAGTTAAAGAAGCTAATAGCATAATAGAGAAATGGAATAAACACAAGTTATTTTTACCTCCCATCTCACTAGAGCAGTATTCCTATCGATCATTTTTAACAGATGACCATGGGTTCCACTAGGAATGATCAGACCCTCAACACCGGGAAGGTGTAATGGTTGGACCACCTTAACAGTCTGAGAAGCATCATCCACTATCAAACAGCTACTGATATCAACAGGAGATGACAATCCAGTGGACTTGTCAAGAAAGTTAAATCTGTTCAAGAAACATATCAACATAATTTCTCGCAACACCTTCTACAAGCCTCATAAATGAAAGGAACCTCAATGACTCCTGGAGAAAAATAAAAGTTACTTACACACATTCCGCAGGCCATGCTCCTTCACAAAGTGCTGATAACAACTGTAAAAGTTCAGCAGATCTAAAAGGGAATTCACCCTCCAAGCTGCAAAGAAGGCACCTGATAGGACCATCAACAAAACTATCCCTATCCCAAAACTGAGTACAGAGGGACTCCTGCACCATATACGTCAATGGTCTGAATTAATGAAAAAACATATGATTTTGAAGGCTCAAAAAGGCAACAATCCTCCAAACCTCTCCTTGATAAATTTTGCAAAGAATATCCAATATCAATTTCAGGTTACCATCCTCCAACTGCAACACAGAAAAGGCATGATAATAGAGAAGATGTGTTTTCCTTCACAAAGTGATAAATAGTATTAACTTAAAAACCTGGATATTGATCTCGTAAGAGGCAATAAATGCTGATATAAATGTCCGTAAAACGCTTCTAAGACCAACAATAGGACCCTGAAAATAGTAATAAATATCAAAGCAAAGATGAAATGACATAATGCACTACCTCTGTATGAAAGATAAGATGGATAAAAGATAATTTGCAAATAATGAGTAAACAAGCTATTCACTCACATCAAAATCCCTCAGTACATCATTTTCAATAATTTCAAGAAAAAAGCTCAAAGATCCAGCTTCGAAAGCTTGACGAACATAACCAATATGGTCTATCTCCTGAAACAAATTCAAGATATGAAAAAAAATGTCAAAACTTTACACCTTCCTGAGAAAGCACAAGCAAGCCAATTACGTGATATGAAGCTAAACAGACCATCAGTATATTATTTTCTTCTTTTCCAGGAAGAGATGAAATTAGACAGAGGAAAACTGCCCATGCCGAAATCAATGGTCCTGATTCTTTCTGCTCAAATACATCAAAAGTGGACACCATAGCATCGATTTCTTGCACCTCGGACAGTGAAAAAGTAACATGGCCCTGCCTGGGTTAAAAAAAAAGGGCAGCCGTTATGACAATAAGGAAATAGGACAAATGTACTGAGAAAAGAAAATCTTGAAAGAAGTTGAAGAAACCATAAGAACAAGAGAAATCAAAACAGAAAGAGGGGAATCTGTGTGAACTTCAGAACGTTTAGAGCTACCTAGCACTATTTGATCTTCTCTCCAAACAGGTCAAGCATCCAGAAGAAAGAAGCAATAGAATCATATCACACAATTTGCAATATGACCAAGAGACTCTTTCAACTTTAAAGGAGGTGCACTAGCAAAATGTTCATTCGAGACCATGATTGTGATACTGAGACCATGCTTGTGATACTGATAATGATATATCAGTTCATACAATGTGTGAAAAAAGTATTGTGGTTTTACTGATTCCCCCATGATAAGTTGCTTAACCAATAAGCAGAAGTGCCAATAATGACAAAATCTAAGTTGCTGAGCACTAAATATAGTTAACGCTCAACAAATATAAAAAGTGTGAGAAGTAACGAACACCGGAGAAAATATTGAGAGAAAGCTCAGCTTGATTATTCCCCTCAAGCTTTGGATGTTAAATAGTGATGTACACCTATAGTAAAATAGGAAAGCATATCAAGGTTACAAATAAATCTCCGTAATCGATTCCTATTACCACTACAACAATAACTAAGCCTCAGTCCCAAACAAGTAGAGATCGGTTGTATGAATCCTCACTTCAACCTTTAAGCTCAACTCATATCATCATCATACCAAAATAAAATAGAAGTGAAAAGAAAAATAATTTAAGTACATACTCTGAGAGGGTGTTACATAGTAATAAACCCTTCTCTACTAATGTGGGATAATATACGTACTACTATACATAATAACTCTCTAACACTCCCTCTCAAGTCGGTGCACATAAATCATATGTACCGAGCTTGTCACATATGCAACTAATATAAGGACAAGTGAGGGACTTGGTGAGAACATCCGCAAGCTGATCATTTGACTTCACAAACTTTGTAACAATATCTCTTGAGAATATCTTCTCTCTAATGAAATGACAGTCATTTTCAATGCGTTTAGTCCTCTCATGGAACACTAGATTTGATGCAATATGAAGGCAGTTCTTTTTATATATAAGGTAAGATTTAGAAGGGCAATTTGATTATCACACACAAGTTTCATCTAACAGATTTCTCCAAATTTTAATTCTCTGAGCATCTGTTTAATCCAAACTAGCTCATATGTTGCCACAGTCATTGCTTGAAATTCTGCTTTTGCGCTAGATCGAGCAACCACATTTGTTTCTTGCTTTTCCAAGAGACAAAATTAACTCCTACTAAACACAATATCCAGATGTAGCACGCCTATCAGAAGGTAATCCTGCCCAATTAGCATCTATGTATCCAACGATCTGCTCATAGCCTCGGTCCTCGAATAGTAGTCTTTTGTCTGGAGCTGATTTTATACACCTAAGAAAGCAGACAACTGCATCCCAATAACTATCATAGGAAAAGTCCATAAGCTGACTTCCCCACTCACAAGAAAGGATATGTCAGGTCTAGTCATCGCGATATAATTCAATTTGACAATCAACCACATATATCTTGTAGGATCACTAAAAGGCTCCCCATGTCTTGGCAGAAGCTTAGCATTCGGATTCATAGGAGTGTTAATGGGTCTGCAACCCATCATTCCTGTCTTCACAAAAATATCTAAAGCATATTTCCTTTATGAAATAACAATACTTGAGCTAGATTGAGCAACTTCAATACCTACAAAGTACTTTAATATGTCGAAATCCTCATGCTGGAAGTACTGAAAGAGATGTTGCTTCAGATTAGTAATATCATCCTGATCATTGCCAGTAATAATGATATCGTCAACATAAACCACCAGATAAATACATAGATTCGGAGTAGAATGCTGAATATAAAACAGAGTGCTTAGCTTCACTACGAGTTATGTCGAACTCTTAAATAATTGTGTTTTGAACTTACGAAACAATTGTTTACCATATTTAGAAATAATAAGAGATTTCCATAAGGCATTCTTACCATCATTCAACCTCCACCATTTGTATAACAAACATTTATTGTGAATTTTTCAAGCCGCTTAACCCAAGATCACCCCTCTTCTTTACCTCTACAAACTTTTTGCCAGTTGACCAAATGCAACTTTTTGTTAGTGGCATTTCCTTCCCATAAAAGGTGATTTCTTAACCAATTATCCTCTTCTCCACTTTGAAAGGAATAGGAATAAATGACATTAAACAAGTTGGTATCCCGTCTAAACTCTATTAATTAATCGATCAACCACCAAAAGACAAGTATTGTCTCTACCAAGTAGTGAGTTTTATTTCACGCTTGCCAATAACGCCCTGCCAAATATTTGCATCTTTTCCTCTTGCCCCGAAAGGGCGCCCCAGATAGGTGGCAGGAAAGCTTTCAACTTTACAGCCCAATATCACAGCCAGTTTCTCAATCTGAATATTTGTATTTACTGAAAGAATGTTACTTTTAGCTAGATTAGTTTTTAACCCATAAGCAAATAAGATCACCCTCAGAAAATTGAGTTGTTCTCTTTCTGCGCCACATAGCAATAGTGTACCATCCGCGTATAAAATATGAAAAATATCCACCTTTTCTTCGCCATTGCCCTCAACACAAACCCTTTAATCCATGCTATATCTACAGCATTATGCTCAGCACCTCATAACAAGGACAAATAAATAAGGAGACAATGGATCTTCTTGCCTCAAGCCCTTTTGAGATTTTAAACAAACTTCTGGACCCCATTAATCAGAACTCAAAATCTGACGGTAGAAACGCATGTCTTGATCCATTTGATCCACTTTCTCCAAAGTTCATTTGCTCCATGATGTCTATTAGAAAGGACTAATTTACATGGTCATAAGCCTTTTCTAAATCAAGCTTACAAACAACCCCTCCCTTCCCCTTCTTCAAATAATAGTCAACACATTCATTGGCAACCATAGCAACATCTACAATTTGTCTACTTTTAATAAACGCATTCTGACCCATGAAACCAATTTATTCAACACCACCTTTAGTCTTTCTGTGAGCACCTTTGCAATTTTTTATAGATACTCCCTAGAAGACTTATCGGCCTGCAATCTTTCATATTTACCACTCCCTTTTTCTTTGGAATAAGAGTTATGAATAAGGCATTGAAACTCTTCTCAAAAGATCCTTCCAAATAGAAGAATTTCAATGCCTTCATAATGTTCATCTTCTAAAATATACCAACACTTCTGAAGAAATGTCATGTTAAAGCAATCCGGCATGGTGCCTTATCCACTTCAAATAACTTCAACACCCCCTTACTTCCTCAATAGAAAATGGTCTTTGAAGCCATTCCTTTTTATCATCGCTTAATTCTACCAAACCTACATTGCTCTATTGTGACCTCCACTTTTCATTTTCCGTGCACAAACTCTGATATAATTCAAGGATGTGTTCCTTGATCACTTCTCTATCTTCTGAGATTCTGTCATTTATTTCCAGTCTATCAATAATATCGCATCTTTTGTATGCATTTGCCAATCTGTGAAAAAAAATTGCATTTTTAATCTCCTTGCTTAATCCACAAGCTTCTTGATTTTTGCCTCCACGAACTCTCCTCTTCTTTTGCAATATATTCGAGTTCTTTGACAAGAAAGAACTTTTTTCAGAAATTAAATCAGCATCTCCAGCTTGTGAGGAATAAATGTGAACCAAATTTACTTATTCTAAGAAATCAGCATGCTCAAACCACATTTTCAAATTTGAAGTAACTTTTTTCCTTTCTCAATCGCCATATTCAAACAATAAAGGCAATGATCAGACCCTACCCTCGGCAGTGTTGTCTGCTTTATATCTCTTAAAAAACCCATCTCATTCATTAGAAACACGTAATCTATCAATCCTTGAAGCCACACTTTCATCAGCATATCTGAACCAAGGTATACTGCTCTCCATAAAGTTGGGAGATCAACAAGCGACAAATCTATAATAATTCTAGAAAACTCTCTCTCATGGCTCTAGAATTCACCACCCTACCCGCTCTTTCGTGCCCACCGATTCTTTAGAGGAAAAAATTCCAGCACCACTTTTCTTATTGTAGTTGCGTACTATACTGGCTAGATTTTTGCGTCAATTTTCTATTTTTCAAATAAGCAAACTCAAGTTGGTTTCCTCACGTTGAATTGAGGGGCATTTTAGAATATCAAGTGAATTAAGGAAGATCATATAGAATTAAGACGGAGGAGAAGATGCAGGCCGTGGATGTTGCTCCATTAGCATTTATGTGGAACTTATGGAGAGAGAAATAGGATAGCTTTTGAAGGAGTAAACAATGATATTGTACACCTGACAAATAGCCTCTTATCCCTTGTTTGTTCTTGGTGCACCCACGAGGTACATATATGTATAGATGATTGAGTGTTATTCGTAGAGAACCATATCTTTTCGGTAAGGTTTACTTTTTGGTATACTATTGCCCTTCTTCAATAAATTATTATTTTCTTTTTTTTATTCCCTCCCTCCAAGAGCTCCCCACCTTGCTCTTGGGGTAACTCGAACTCACAACCTATTGGTTGGAAGTGAAGGGTGCTCACCACTTGAGCAACCCACTCTTGTCTTCTTCAATAAATTATTACTTAATCAAATGATAACTTATGATATTCCATATTTAATTATTAAATACTTACTTACCTTATTTAGTATAGGATAAATTTTTTTATTTATTTAGCATAGTCTATGACACTTGTATAATGAGCACCTCCTAGACATTGTTAATCAAGTCAACGAGAGACTTTTTTTCTTCACAAGTAATAGCAGAAAATATGGAATTTTGGAAGGGGGTGGAGAACTAGAAACATCAGTATTCGTTTTGGTGTGGGCTTTGGAGAAACATCATGAATGGATGAGAGGATCTTAGTGATAATATAACTTTCAGGATTGGAGTAGGCGTAGTTTTTGAGGTCACGAGCGATTTGGTGACAACACTTCGAGAC